ATCATCACTGTTGTTGTTTCATTGTTGTTATTGTTGTTTACCTTTCTCCAGCCGATAGTTCTCTGTGACTGAAACTAAAAGGCTCATGTACCATTAGTGGTAGCCTAGCAACATGGGGCGGAGTCAACCAGTTGCAGTATACTTCCAATTCAAACTGCCAAGAGAGAAGGTCCTCACCTCCAACAGACGAGCCACCATCATGACAACCAAGTGCAGTGGGCATGGTCTGATATAAGGAGGAGACTGTCATGTCAAAAGGAAGGCAGCGATGCTTCGTTGGAGAAGAGAGAGAAGGAAGAGTAAAGAGTAGCTGATGATAATCCACTGTTGGTTCACCGTCTATTGATTCAACCTGTACAGTGGGCGGAGCCACTAGAGATAGCTCCGCCCCTTCTTGTATAACGGTATCCTCTTCAACGTTGACCTCTAACTCACATAATACGGGAATGCCTGATAGTATCACTTGAGTGGGAGGAGTCGATTAATCAATAAATATTAATTAGGGGTGTGGCTTACCATTTTGATGAGGTTTGAGGCCAATTGAGACATTGACTTTATCAGGTAATATCGTTAGTGGGTGGAGCTTAGCTGTTTTTGAGGGAACTACAAGACAAAAGTCCAGAGCACCAGCCTTCATGATAATCTGTTGAATATTGTAATTACCAGAAGAAGATATCTGAAGGAAAGAATGGAAAGGATAGAGTGGAATTTGGAGTCAAGTACAATTTGAAATTGAATTTTCTTCATTGTTGAGTTGAATGTACATGTACATGTACATTGCATTATTGATTTGGCCACCTCCCAATATTTACGGATTCTGATAATTCCCTTTCATTATTTGAGCCAATTCTAATGATAAGTCTCTGTGTTTACTTTTCCTTTCACAATAGTGCTGTTGTTAGCTCCAGGCTGACAGACCAGGCCTCTCATCTCAAGCCTCACACTGTTATACTTGACAATACCCTCCTCGCCACTCAATTCAGAGGAAGAATAATAAACCTAACAAACAAACAAACAAACAAATAAAACAATAATAATTATTAAATTACATACTTTATGTAGTTTGGAACCCATGTCACCTCCAACTGGTCGAAATGAAAGTAGTACATCCTCAGGCGGACCTGGTTCTAGTTCTATCTCTTGTAACGATTCTAATTAAAGAGCAGCTGATAAGGGACAATAATTAACTAATCCTCACCTAGCGATCCTTTGAAAGCTGGGGTCTTGCTGGTTGCTATGGAAACCATCGACACCTTTGTTTCCGGCTCCAATATGACCGAGACCATCGTTAACTTCATTTCCTGTCACAAAACCAGTAACCATGACAACCCGTACATTGACCAATGGCTTACCTTTGGGCCACTGTATCTGAAATCAACTTTTAATTCAATTTCCTCTCCTTTACGATATTGATTGGGATAAGCCCCACCCCGAACTCCGCCCACTTTCTTCCCTCCTCCTACGTAGCTAAGACTGGTTAGTTCAAACAACGGTTCCCATGACAACAGTTTCTGGTATTTAGACCTGTCTGCTATCCGTATCAGTTGGTCCATGTACTGGGCGGGACCATGGGCGGAGTTATCGTGCTTGGGCGTGGTCACGAGAACAAGAAGAGAATTAACTTCCCTAAAAATTAAAAATTATAATTATAATTGTACTTTTTAAATGCATACATGTAACTACGTAGCTATTGTTGTAATTATTATTATTATTATTATTATTATTATCATTATTATTATTGTACTTACTTGTCTTCTTGCTTCAGTTTTTGCTGACAGTGCGCTAGTATTGAATAAGCTGATGATGATAACTGTGGCCAGTGCTGGACTGAGTGAAGACTAGTTACGTCACACAGCAACTGTTCAGCTTCCTTCACCATACCAACACCTCTGGAATTAATAATAATAATAATAAAGACATGTACATGAATTTAAAAAAGGAAAATTCTTTTTGGTAAAATGCCCTGTACTACTACTACAACATGCATGTATATTATACACATTATACATGTCAAACATGTAAATTATCATTAACAAACAGTCCTTGCTAAATGAACTAGGATAATACTTACTTGTGAAACTCGGCCATTCTTGTTCCAATGCTAAAAGCCATACGGCGTCTCCCAGCATGCTTGAACGCACCAATCACCATCTCACCCAATGACTACAGACAAGAGAGATATATTGTAAAAGAGGAGCAATAATATCTACACACGCACATACATGCACACCTATGTACGTACCATGAAAGCATTCTTAAATTTTTCTTTCGATTGCAAAACTTCAACCAAACGTGCTCCCAGGTCTTCTGCCTTGCTCCCTAAACAAACCCCGCCCATTAATGATCACACGAGAATCACATGATCTCGTACCGTTACTAGTGTCACAAGTTATGCCGGAGCATATCGTTGATATCAGTTCTTGATTGGGCAAAGAGGAGAGAGAGCCGGGCATGAGGTGACACAATAAACCTATTGAGCGTAACTATGGGAAAAATAGAAAAATACATGTAAATAAAAAATAAAAAATAAAAAATAAAATAAATAAATAAATAAATAATAATATTAAAATGTGATTTATTATTTCTTTACCTTCTCCCATGCATAATGCCATAGCTCAGCCCTAACCAGTACTAGTGTAGTTGATGCTGTTTTGGCTAACACTTCAGGATCAATCTTGACCATCATAGACTCAACACACTCAATACAGGACATGTAGGCCCAGGAATTGAACACGCCTTCGGGCAATGATAACTAATAAATAATAAAAATAACAACAATAATAATAATAATAATAATAATGATGATAATAATAAATCTTGAAAATTACAAATTAATAACTACAATAATAGTATAAACAACAACAACAATAATAATAATAATATTAATAATAATAATGAATTTAGTACCTTCAATAAATTAATTAGTCTTGCAGTACAGTGAAGTGTTCCTATGCAACACTTGTACACTTCCTGTACAAGACCACGCCCACAGAGGGTGTGAATTCGACGGACGAAAAGAAAAGTCCAAATGTGAATAATGTGAGCATTATTGTCTAAAATATTTGATAAATACTGAGAGAGAGAAAATATATTTAAATTATAATAAATTTTCGTTATACGTCGTACCTTCCATGATATATCAGTATTAGTGAGATTAGGGTAATCCCAGGTCTTTATTTCTTGTTTCTGTAGCTTCGTCAGCCATGAAGGAGCTTATGAAAGAGAGAGGAGATCACATGAGAATCAGCTGATAACTACTAACTGTCATCCTTTTTTGAGAGGATTGTGATCGCAAACTCAAGATCATCATGAACTGAAGTGTAACGCGTTGAGGCTTGTAATGGATCCCGAATCATCTCATAACAAACTGACAATGATAACTGGAGAAAGGAAACAGAGTCTGGTGCCATTGTATTAGTGTTCTTTACTAACCTTCTTACAAATCAAACTATAAACTTCGTCGCTATGGACAGTCCTGATCCTCTTGTCCCTTAGCTCGTTGCTTACCTCTGAGAGACGAGATAGGAAATTGTTTAAAGCTAGTCTGTTAATCTCAAGGGAATAAGAATTGAATGATTCTGCGATTCTTGCATCATCAGCTGAAGCTAGTCGCAAATTAGTAACACTATAGAAAGAGGGAGGGAGGAAGAGAGAAGAGAGAGAGGGGGAGGGGGGAGGGAGAGAGCAGATAAAAAAATTAGGCTAATTAACACATACTTACTTGCATTTCCCACGGTAATCCTTCACAATATATTCCTCTACTGACTCGTATTTACTCGATAGCATTTTAATTTTAGATCTCTTGCTCCTCACCTCAGCAGTGATGCAGAATACTATCACTAGTTTGTCATCACCTCCCATCTTAGTGGCCTCATCTATCCACTGATCTATCATTGGCTTTACAGAGCTGACATAAGTACTGACCTCCTAATATCGTGAATAAAAAAATTAACAAAATTAAATAAATGTTAAATAAATTATGTGCAACATGTACACACATATATATGTAATTCGTAGCTTTATATAAAAGTAAAGATCTAAATCAATAAATATCTAGGTGTTGAATTAAAATTTGAATTAAAATTTCGTATATTTTTTGAAATACTATCATAGCTTACTGAGCAGCCAGTCCAGTACGTGTGGAGGCAAGGTTCCTTGTGGATGAGATAAGGGTAAGAGCTTTTAGTACGGGAATTGTAAAAATCACGGAAATCCTTGAACTCCATTCCTTGACAGAAAGACGCAAATGCTTTTTCATCTCTAAGAGGAAGAAAAGAAAGAGAATTGTTAATATTTAATGAGGCACAGGCCTGTGTGGGAGGTACTTGGAATAGTCTGGCCTTTGGAAAGATTTGAATTGCTTCTGAAGCCTCTTCTGCATGACAGGACCAATGAGATCAAGGTCTCCTTGAACTGTTTAAGGAAATAATAAAAGAGAAATAGGGAGAATACTACTCACTCGTAATCACTGGCCTGACCGCCATCTTTAAAAAAAAAAGCTATGAGACCACGCCCACAAAAGAGACTCCGCCTACAAGACGTGGCTTGTTAAAAATGGCTTTCTCTTCTTCTCCACTGCATATTTTGCTCAGTAAAATCTACACTGCTGGCGTTGAGGCTGTCAGACCTGCTTCATTAGTTAGACAAGCTATGAAAGTAGATGCACTCAGCAGCACACTTCATATTGATGGCAAGCAATATCAATTGCAACAGTTAGTTTTACAGTAGATGCACTTCCATTATAATATTTTCCCATTTAGGAATGTTCTTGTAGTTGGATTTGGCAAGGCTGTATTAGGCATGACTGTAGCATTGGATTCACTACTAAAGGGTCACATTAAGAGAGGAATTGTTAGTGTCCCTCTTGGTACAACACTGCAATACAGTACTGAAGCTCTTGTTGATAGCAACATAAAGTCAGTATGCAAATTGCTGTATGATTCCTAATTGTGTGAGCTATAATTTGCACGTAATCAATTTAGAGTTATTGAAGGAGCTGCTTATAATTTACCAGATCCACCAGCAGAGACTGCAGCTAGGGAAATACTTCAGTTAGTTGGAGAAGCAAGCGATGGAGACCTTGTGGTTGCTCTAGTTTCAGGAGGAGGATCAGCTCTTTTACCAGTTCCAGGGATTGGGATTAGTCTTGAAGATAAGAGGAAAGTGAGTTCCCTGCATGATTATAGAGCAGGTTTTTTTTATTGTATAGCAATGATAATTTGAATGGTCCTCTTTTGTTCTCTTTTTTCCTACAGACAATAGAGTCCCTCTCTGCAGCTGGTGCTGCTATAAATGAGCTCAATATAATCCGCCAGTGTCTCTCTCAAGTAAAGGGAGGGAAACTAGCAGCCAAAGCATGTCCAGCTCAGGTGAATACTTGACTGCATGCATTTGTAATTAGACAATTTAATTTAACGATCATGTAATTATTTTTTAGATGTTAGGACTAATATTATCTGATATAGTAAATGATCCATTGGAGTACATTGCAAGTGGACCGACTATTCCTCAGTTACCTGATAATACGTTGGCACTTAAGATAATCAAGAAATACGATAAAATGGAGTCACTGCCTAAACCTGTGCTTAATCATCTCTCACAGCTGCACCTGAACTCTGCTGTTTCCGCTACTCCAAGCTCTGCTCATGTTCACAATGTATTGATTGGTAATAATTCAATGGCCACAAGAGCAGCTGAGAAAGAAGCAAGGTCTCACGGCTGTGATGTCGTGACATGGTCGCATGCAGTGCAAGGAGAAGCAAGAGACATAGGCTATTTTTATGCAGAGATAGCCTGTGACATTATGAATAAGAAAATAAAAGGAATTGATATTACAGAGAGAATAAAAACACTCACAAATTCACTATCACTTTCAGTACCTCATGAGGATATTGAGAGACTTTATAATGAAGTACTATCTTTTCAGCATGAGTCTAGTAATAGACTGTGCATTATTAGTGGGGGAGAGCCGACTGTTACGCTCCATGGAAATGGCAAAGGAGGAAGAAATCAAGAACTAGCACTTTCTTTTGCTAAGCACATACACCATTTGATGCAAAGAGAGCTTGAAATCACAACCAAGCAGCAAGAAAAAGGAAAGCAGGAAGTGAAGGGAGGTAAAAGTAACGTGTTATTTTGCTCAATTGGTACCGATGGACAGGATGGCCCTACAGATGCAGCTGGTGCTATTGTTAATGGCGAGAGTTGGAGTAATGCTCTGCGGCAGGGCCTTGATCCTGATCGGTTTTTAAAAGAGAATGATTCATATTCATTTTTCAGTACTGCTCAAGGTGCATCTCATGTCAAGCTTGGACTGACAGGCACAAACGTAATGGACATCCACATTTTATTAATAGAATAATTTTTTATTTTTATGATAAATTTTGATGATATTCACGAGTGCATATTTCAAATTTTTTAATTCATAGATATTAGAGTAAATGAAATCTATGTTTAATCATAGATAATAGAGTTAAAGGGATTGGAAACGGCTCACGTGATCCCATAGCAATGAATGGAGAATGTGCGTCGCAATCCGTGTCCAAAGAATTCAATTAATTTTTATTACCTTGAGGATCAACCAGAGGAGTTTATCTAGGTTTATTTGCAAGATAGTTTGTAACTGAGGTAGCTCTTGTCGTTAATAATGTTGTATACTCATATGACTATTTATAGAAATTTTAAAAATACATAATTACACCTGCAATCCATGTATAAATTGACTATTTTCAGTGATGACTTACATAAAAACAGTTTTGTACCTATAACTCACCATCAAAGGATAAACAATGAAAGTCTATAGCATACCAAGCAACTATAAGTAGACCTGCATGCCAATAGCACACTTTCAAATCTTATTCAATACTCCTGTAGTAGTAATGGAAACTTTCAGAGAAAATTTATCGTCTTCTTTTGTACCTCTACCAGCAGTACCAAAGATCCTACGGTAACAATTATTGCTACAGTGATTACTGAA